TCTAAATACAATGTATTCTCACTTAATTTAATCTACTGTATCTTTTTTTTCTGGGGAAAAATGTACTTTTTCCACAAACACCAAACAGATAAGCAAGAGAATGCCTGTGTTCTAGTGTTAAGTCACATTTGGTAAGTAGGCTTGATGCTACACTTCAAATCGAGCCAATAACTACTTATGGATAAGCCAAGAATTTTAGGTGTCAAAAAATTGAGCTTGGCTTATCTGTGGATGGCCTTATCTACAAATATATATGGTAGGCTTTTCTCTCAGCTGTTTTAAAGAACCTATACAGATAGTCCTCGAGTTACAACAGTTCCATTTAGTGACTGTTTAAAGTTACAATGGCACTGAAAAAAAAGTGACTCATGACCATTTTTCACACTTATGACCACTGTAGCATCCCCATGGTCATGTGATCAAAATTCAAACACTTGGCAACTGACTCATAGTTATGACAGTTGCAGTGTCCCAGGGTCATGTGATCACTTTTTGTAACCTTCTGACAAGAAAGTCAATTGGGGAACCATGTTACTAACATAACAACTGCAGTGATTCATTTAACAACTGTGACAAGAAAGGTCATAAAATGGGACAAAACCTACTTAACAAATGTATCACTTATCCACAGAGATATGGAGCTCAATTGCAGTCAAGGATTGCCTGTATATCCCATTTATTTTCACATATAGTGTATATAAGCCCATCTGCGGATAAACAAACTCTTACATTTTTAACTAAAATACCATGAAAAATGTGCCACTCGTGGATTATCCAATTATGAAAATTAAAACTTACGAAAATTCCAAGCTTGGCTTATCCTCAGGGCTGGCACATTTTTCATGGCATTTTGGTTAAAAATTTGTTGGTCAACTTATTTGTGCATAGGTTTACATGCAAGTATATGCATGGGCACAATGTATGTCATATTACTAGTCTCTGCACCTCTATCCTAGAAAACCATTCCACTGTTGGTCTTAATATTCAGAACAGCTTTCCAAGTCTATTTTCCAAAGGCTGAAAATGTAATTCAACCAACTTCCTGTTCTCTATGATATATTTCAGGAAATGTGTTAAGTCACTGCTGAAATGCCAAGGTCAATCTGTACCAAGAAAAAGCACAACATTCCAAAGCTGAATCACTCTACTTTGCACAAATAACTTTGTGGCTAAACTGAAAATAGGTTGTTCTCATTTCAATATTATAAAATTAGCAATAAATCTTAAGTCAGTCTTAACAGTAACACAAACCAACTTTTGCACATGGGATTACATGCTATTCTGCTCATGCACAGATGATGGTCTCACCCATTTGCATAATGCCAGAGTTACAATAAGTCAACACTTATATAACTTGGGAATTGCCTTTGTATTAAAATTTGTGATAAAAATGTGTATCAATTTTCATAATAAAAACAAATGACACAATGAACACTGAAAGCATATTTTTATGTAATTTATACAGTCAAATCTTGTGGTTCTGGGTTATTTCACCAAAAAGACAAGCAAACTTTACTTATTTGGATATTTTCAGTTTTGCAATATTATGAAAGAATTCTGATGAAAGAATTAGCAAGTCTTCACATGCTCACCTTACTCAATATATCTCCAAGAACTAATCTGAACATGCTGATGCAGCCATTTCAAAGGCTTGAACTACTTTTGAACCATATGCAAATATTTAGTTGACGTGCCTGTGTATGCTTCAAAAATTATTTTGAACAAGTTTTTGTAATGGACATCGCTGTACATGTTATTTTCTTTCAGCTCTTTAAAAGTAATGCAGTTCAAAAAGAAGCAGCATGCAAAGCTCTATTAGATGACATAATGTACAAACTTTTCATACGCAAGGGAGTTTATGGAAAAGTGACTTGGGTAGGGAAAATTAAGAGATTATAATCAACCTAAGTAATGGGATTATACAATATGCAGGTAGCTGCACATATAAATTACCTCTGAGCTAATAAAATTCAAAATTATGATTTCCAAATAAAGAAATTAAATCACGCTACTGAATAACTACATTCTCCACCAGCTACCTCAAGGGGCAAGTTATGAGTTTTTAGAATTATTTTCTAAATACAGAAAATTAAGTATTCTTGAAAATTAAAAATTACTCTTAAAAAAACATCTTCCAATAAATTCCTAGGTTTAAGAAATACTGATCATATAATATATTCTTACAGAAATCATAATACATTTCATGAAAAGTTAAATATTTGGGATAGCAACATTAAGCAAGATAATTGTTTTATCACACTTGTCTCATCAATTAAATAGGTTTATGCACTTCAAACTTGTACTTGCTATGTATTCTTATTTATAACTCTCAATTAATTAAACAAGATATAATTTATAGTCACTTTGATCCAGTACCAATTACCTTCCCACTAATCAGGTTCTAGATCTACAGCCAGGCTATACCTCCCCATCTCCTCTGTAAATACAATTCACAATACTAAAAAGGCACATTTTTTACTAAAAAGGTTTCTACCAAATCACAAACCAATTTTTAAAATTCAAGCCTGTTCCAGAAAAAATATAGTAATTTCCTTGACATTCTGAGTCATAGTCTTTGAATCAAGATATTTAGAAAAACAAATGAATTTGATCTCCTTCTGATTTGTTTTTAATACATTTCCATTTCAAATATTTTAAGGCAATATTTTTACATGTATTTTGTCTGTTGTGAAAAAATAGCAGCTTCTTCGAGAATGCAATCTGTAATTCTCAGGATTCCACCAAGTCTGCAAGGATTACACAAGTATTTTGATGACTTTCATGTATCTTCCAAAGCCAGGTTGGCCCCATTTCAGTATATTTTTTCTATAAAATTAGTCATAAAGTTAAACAGGAAAAGTTACAGTTATATAAAAGCTGTTACAACAACATCTTTCAAACTGAGTTTTACCACAGTTACTACAGACAGCAACTGCTTGAGGATTAGCCAAGAATTGCCAAATCCCCCTGATTTTTAAAGATTTAACAGTATACGGAGATTAATATTTTTACACCCTCTTTCTATTTTTGTCAGTTAACAAATAAGGTGCCAATGTCTGGGAATATATCCTTACTAAGATACAATAATAGTTATCCATACATTATTAGACCTCAATCAAATGTGCTGAACATCAGCATGTGTCCTAAATTTAGTACAAAATATCAGATTGCTATATTTCGTCACTAGTAGGCATTGTGCCGGAAGCTATCCCTAGGAGACTGCAGAATTTAAATTTTGTTTTGCTATGAACAGAAAGACTGTGTTTTCAGATGCATCTCCTCTATTTCACCGTCATATGCAGAAACAAAACATATTATTTCAAATTCCTTAGAGAACATTATTTGCCCAAGTATTTGCAATGTTTTGTACATTTCAGCAAGGATTAGCATGAAAATAAGAATTCTATGGGACATTTTTCAAACACAAAGCAAAAAAAAAAAAAAAAAGCTTGTTCTTGTATTCTTATAACACACAAAACTAACCTGGCAGCTACCCAAAAAAGTAGAGAAATGTTTCACACATAACATTTTTTTTTTAAATATTGGGTATTGACATTCTGCGTTCACAAAATAGGTGCTGAGTTTAAAGAGAAAAAGATCACTGGGAAGCTAAAGAGCATTTGAAAGGCTCACAAAATGATTTAAAGGGTTTTTTTTCCCCCTTTCTCTAACTTATTTCAGTGGAAACAGTGAAGAGCAGGGAGGACAATTTTTTTTGTTTCACTTTATTTTAGGTTGTAGGCAGGTTGATAGGTTGAGATGATGGCACAGCTGCAGCTAAACTCTGCTACCCTGAAAACTATCTGGTTGCAAATATAGATGTCTTTCATCAGCAATCTGTTATGTCTTTTAAAAAAAATAGAAAAGTCCAGCCCGTTATCTTGCTGATATTTGAATAAATCTGAGAAGGGTCATTCCCAACAGACACTTAAGCTCACAATTGTGTGGGACACGAAGGGCTGGCTAGGCACACACTTGGAGAAAACAGCAATTTCAGAAAGATGGGGGGGGTTGTCAGTGAAGGAAACATTACAAGCCATGCACATGAACAAGACCCATCTCTTCACAGCAGTGAAGACAGGCTTGAACATATGACACTTCCTACCCAGCTGACTTTGACTACTGAGACTCCAACTTGATCAGAGCACATTTTCAAACAAAATATGCTGGCCGGGTTAAAGCGAAAGTAACAGATACTGTACATACTTTAGCGGGGGGGGGGGGGGGGGGGGGGGGGGGGGGAGAGAGAGAGGCGAAACTTCCGTGTCGTTTTCTGCACCTTTTACTTGGGGGGGTCACTTTTTTATGTACACTATGCCAGCATGAGCTTTTTTTCGTCCCGTCGGTCTTTAAACTATTGAACACTTGTCACTTCGAAGGAGCGAGACGCATCTACTCAGTGTAACCTCACCGGTTCGCTTTTTGGGACGTGAACAGTGAGGAGGACATAAAACACTTTTCAGTTCCCCAGAAATTAGCGTATTGCGGGGGCGGGGAAAGGGAGAGGATGAAATCCCCCAGAAGGTACAGAAACCATAAGCTCTTCTCATATTGCAAATGCAACGTTTGGGGGACGCGTGCTTACGCAGCCCGTCTTTGGGGCCGCCATGTCCCCGCACAACCCTTCGTGGAGGGGGGGGGAGCGGGAAGGGGCACGTGGGCCGGCAAGCTGGCTCTTTTCAGCCCCGGCCAGCGTTCCAACTTCCACTCACGAGACCCGGTGGCAGGCCGCGCGCTGGCGATCGAACTCAAGCCAAGGAAGCGAAGGGCCGCGCTTCCCTTCGGCTCATCTGCATGCTGGCCCGCTCCGCTTCTCCCATCCTAGGGCTGCTGCGCCATCGAAGGCCCGGCAGCTCCCCCACTAGCAGGGCGCCTCCAGCTCTGCCCATCCGGTAAAACAGGGAAGAAGCAAAAAGAGCCAGCGAGTGAAGTTTCGTGGCTGCGCGCCGCACGCCTGCTTCCTCGCTCTCCCTCCTCCATCCTGTCCCGCGGCTTCCTACCGTTTTTGGAGTCGCCCGAAGCCGAGCCCGTCGCTGCTGCCGCCGCTCCCCCGCAGCCTCCTCCTCCACCTCCTGCAGCCGCCACGGGCCCGCTTGCTCCGGCCGCAGCCACGGCGGCCAGGACTCCTCCGGCGCCCGCAACTCCCGTCGCGGCCAGGGCTCCATTTTCCTGCTCGTCCCCGCTGCTGTTAGCGCGCTTGTTCTTCTTGCCCTTGTTACTCTTCTGGTTCGGCATCGCCAAGGGAGGAGGAGGAGGAGGAGAGGAGGAGGAGGAGCGGGTCGCAGCAGGAAGGCTGAGGAGGAGGCGGCGGTGACGGCGGAGGCTCTTGATGGCAGTGCTACTGCCGCTGCTGCTGCTACCCCCGCCGACCCCCGCCTATTGCAGCTCCATTGTCAGGCGGAGCAGCACACTCGTCCTTCGCTCACGCACCGCGGCCCTGTCGCATGCACGCACGCACACATACACACACACACGGGCGCGCGTCCACAGACGCCTCGCCGCGGAAGAAATGCAAGCCAGGGAAAAGGCGTGTCTTGCTTGTTTTGATTCTGCTGCGCCCTCGGCAAGGCTGGGCTCCCCGCCCGCTTCTTCCTCTAACCACCCCCCCCTCTCTCTCTCTCGCCTGCCAGGCCTTGGCGACAGTGCTAAGCAAAGAGCAAGTGAAAGGAAGGGAGGAGGAAGGCGCGGCTCAGAGGCTGGACTTGCGACAGCAACGAGGAGGCGCTTAGCCTCGCGTTCGGACTTAGGAAAGCGCCTTTCCTCTCCCGGAGTTGTTGTTTACAACTGCGATTGGATTTCCTCCAGATGTCTACAGGGGCCAGGCCCAGTAGAGGAATAAGCAAGGGAAGGGGGCCTGCCTGGGTAAGAACTCATAATCCGATTAGTGGCTAATCTCCCAGAATGGATGCTTCCTTTCTCTCGCCCTGATACGAGGTGAAGCGCGTTGGGTTAGGCCGGAAGGTGAGTGTAGATCGACCAGATCTCTCTATTGTATGTGCGAGTGAGAGGCAGGTAGGCGCTGGTCATAAAGTATCTCAATACAAGTTCAGACTAGAAGAATTTCTTTGGAATTCCACCCCGAATCGTTTGCCAAAGGAAACGGGCCAGCAACTGAAGTAAGTAATTGAAGAAAAGAAGACCATGGTGAACAGATAAAAGCCGAGAGAAATGGACTACGTGGGATATTAATTGAAATAGAGTTGTGCATAGGAGATTAAGGATTGAAAATGCATTTTCCAATTGATTGATTACTGTATATTATTGTTGTTGTTGTTATTGAAATGCACATGAGATTGCAGCCTTACTTGGAAATCGATCTTAAATGTGCATATATTAACAGTGCCAGATTTCAACCTGCCATCTCTGCCATGCTTTTTGGTGATGGTTTGGCGTTGTGTTGTGGACGAGGTTGGGGGAAAAGTAACTATCAAGCTGCTTTCTTCATGCAAAGAATGGATTAAAATGTTTTTCCACAATAAAGCACAATTTTTGCCAGACCTGATTTGAGCTTGGCCCTTTTGAAAAAGAGCTGCAGGTTTGGCCATGAAATAACGATGTTGTCCTGGCTTTATTTCTCAATATTATTTCAACATGGCATTGAAATTTCAATGGAGATAAAACTTGCTATGTTTAAATCTTTCCAGAGATACAGTGCTGAGTTGTGTTTATATTTATTTATTTAATATTTATATTTCTTTCTAAAAGGAAACACTGAGGTTGGATTGGCGTTCTTCCAATCCAATATACAGGTAGTCCTTGACTTAGACCACTCACTTAGGGAAGTCCAAAGTTACGGTGGCCCCCAGAAAAAGGTACTTAGGACCCAGATTCAAAGTTCCAGTCACATCCCCCACTGTAACATGACTGAATTTGGGGTGGTCAAAAACCTGACCCACGTTTATGTCATCTGCAGCATCCTGCAATCACATGTCCATGATTTACAACATTTTTGCCAGAAACTGGCATTTATTTCCAGTTTCTAGCAAAAAAAATGACCTATAGTGATCAATGGGTTCACTAAATGATTGCAACATTCATTTAGTAACAACTGCAAAACAAGGTCATAAAATAAGATATCGTCATGTGATAACTCATGACTGTAGTTGAGAGTTCAATTACAATCATAAGTCAAGGATTGTCTCTATAGTAACCTGATATTTCAGTTGAATTCAGTGAGTGAGTGCAGTTCATCAGTTCTTCTCCCAGCAGCTATGAAGTCTTGTATATCACTTTGTAGTTCAAACTAAAATATCTATCTGCCTACCTGTCTATCATCTATCTACCTATTAACGTGCCTATCTATTTATCAAGTTTATATGGCTGCCCTTCTCCCACAAAGAGACTCTGGGTGGTGTACAAAAAATAACTAAAAACATTCTGTAGAAGCAGACTAAAAAACAAACAAAAGCAACATCTCAAAGGGGGAATGCATCAAGATTATTACATGTGATACAACCAAAATATCTTTCTGAATGCAGGACAGCAACCCACAGTGTTGAATAAGCCATCTGTTTCTGATGTCTAATTAGAGAATAAGTTTATATAAGAGCTCCAAATCCTGTCTTTATCTGGCTAGTTTTACAAACCTTAATCTTTTGCTTTTCATCAAGCAATCTCAATTTGGACTGGGGTTTTTGTTGTTGTTATTTCACAAACATGGCAGGAAATCTGTTTGCTTTTATAGTTAATTTGAGATTCATTTATGGATATCCATGGTAAGTTTCCAAAACATATCAGGAAATATATCTAGTTCATTTCATACCTGCTACTATGAGCAGTCCTTGACTTACAACCATTCATTTACTGACCATTTGAAATTACAATAGCACTGAAGAAAGTGATTTACAACAGGTTCCACGCTTACATCCATCACAGCATCCTGATGACCATGTAACCAAAATTTGGGCACTTGGCAACTGGCATGTATTTGTGACTGTTGCAGCATCCTGGGGTCATGTGATCACCATTTACAACCTTCCCAGTTCATTTGGAAAGTTGGGTTCACTTAACAATTGCAGTGATTCACGTAACAATCTTGGCAAAAATCTTTGTAAAATTGGGTACAACTCACTTAACAATGCCTTGCTAAGCAATGGAAATTCTGGTTTCAGTTGTATTTGTAAGTTGAGGATTATCTGTATTTGTATCTGTATTTTCACCCTGCAGCTTCAAGAAAAGTTTGTCGGAAGTTCTAATTGCTCATGCAATAAATTAAGACCAGAGTAGTTTTGGATTTTTTTCACATATTGTCAGAAGCATGCGAAAATGCTGTACATATTATCATTAACATTTAATCTGGGGTGGTTTTTTCTCAGATAAAAATCACATTTTATGTTAGGAGTCATAGGATTATTCAGTAATTAACTGATCTCTTAATTAACTTTCCACAATGACTTCCACAATGGAAGTCATTCTTGATGTAACCTGGGACCAATTCTTAAAGATTTCTTGAGCCATAAATATTCCCAATCTCTTTGTGGTTTCTTGGTCTAATTATTATATATGCAAAGAAGATGTATTTAATATTGTGGCAGGTTTAAATTCTTTTATCTATTTTTCTAATTCAACTTTTAAAAAGCTTGCTGATTTGCCTAAAAACTATGAGACGTCTGATTATTATTGCAGCTTTTTTTTTTGAAAAACACATACACACAAAAGTGCCCCATTCTGACAATTCACGTATTAACCGTATTAAATATTTTTTTGCTGATGCAATTTTCAATCCTGTTACATGTAGTCCTCATTTAGCAACCACAGTTGGAACACTAACTTGGTTGTTAAGCAAAACACTTAGATTTTACTTCAGCATCTTTTGCTTTACAGTTCTGCAAAGTTCATAAATGCTAATATTGGTCGTAAAGTTATTTTTTAATCGCTGTCGTAACTATGAATGGTCAATGAATGAAGCAATGAGAAAACTAAACAAGAGCAAAGAAATTATTTTCTGCTGTTAGAATAGGAGAAAACAATAATTTCAAAGGACATGAAAAAAAGGAAATGAAAATTCCAAGGCAGACTTTGTTATGCCTGTCTGAAAAAGAAGCAGAATGGCATTACAATTAATTCAAGCACTGCTTTGTTGCTTTTATAGGCAACTGATGAAGGGAGCAGTTGTTAAATTTGATTGATAATCACATTCTGGACCTCTTAATATAGATGTATACATACCATGGGATTGAAAATTAAACTAGATTATCTTTCTGGGCTGCCAACATCTGTATTTCTGTGATTACTGCCTTTCAACCATTAGTCACAGAAAGAGCAGAGAGCTTGAATAAAAGCCTTATTCCAGGTACCACTGGAAAACTGTATTTCTGCTTTTAAGGAGGAATATAATAACAAGAAAAGCCAAGATTGGTCCCCTCTGGTTACCAAAGAGAAAACTGCCTCTCCAATTTTTACTTTGTTATCAAGTAGATTCATAGAATCTTAAAACGAAGGGATTGAAAGGAATCTTGAAAATCATCTGATCAAATCCCCTGCCCAGTGCAATTTCTGTGACTACAGCTTCCCTGACAGAGTTGCCATCAAGATGGAACCACTGAAGGAATGTCTGTCATCTCCCAAAGCTTTGTGATACTGACAATAGAAGCTGTAGACCAGGGTGTCAAACTGGCGGCCTGCAGGCCAAATGTGTGATGCGATCGAGTTCGACACCTGTGCTGTAGACCCATTCCTTGTTTAGTTAGTTGCATTCCAACAACCAGGTTGTTAAGCAAAATGGTTGCTAAGTGAAAACATGACAGAGAGAGAGAGATGCTGGGAAGATTATTGGTTATTACCATCACATTCAGTTGGTGTTCTTCATACAGTTGCTTCAGTATGGCAGAGGATCTAATGCTAATGCTAAAATATAATAATACTAATAACAACAAATGTTAAGCAATCGTTTTATTTTCTCTCTCTCTAAGAATATGACAGTATCTACTTTAGAATATAGGTCAAAGGAAGAATAGCAAATATCAGTTGTATATATTTTTTTATCCAGGTTGCCTTGAAGAGTTCTTGAAACTCAAAAACTTGGGATGATTTTGTAAACCTTCATTTGGCCTAATATTGCCTGTGTGGATTTTAATTTGTTTTTCCATCACCATCAGAGTGATGAAACACTTCTCCAGATTTTTAGATCTGGGGAAAACTATCATTAAGCTTTTAGATGAAATCATTCTGACTCTCCCAAGGATATATTTGCAAGAGAAAATGATTGTTGTAATATGATAAAGTAACCTAGGCTT